TGAGTCATAAAAAGGTAGCGAGCAATGTCGAAGTGATATCGTGGCAAGGCGAGGCTTGCACAAGCAAATCCAGGCCAAAACGCCTCAGTGCTGTGAACATCTCCGGAAGATTCTCGTAGGTGTGTTAGAGCCACCCTTTTTGTGGGCGAGGGCTTGTTTGCACCTCAATCAATGATTCTCGTGTGGCTCGCACATCATCAGATGTCATTGACAACCTTAGGCAAACCGTGCCGGTGGAATTGGTAACTTGCCTGAGCGTGTATAATGCTGCCCCAAGCGACCTTCCAGAGAGCAAGGTATCAGCTCAGCGAACACCAAAACGCCAAGTGAGCGGTCGAGCTGGCCAGGGCCACGTACAATTTGCAGCGTGTTTGTTACTCTCTGCATGTTGTTCTCGTAGTCCAGGCGCAGGTCCCCCAGTCGAGAAGGCTTGGATGCGTATGAATAGAACGCATTAATCAGCAGCGAATGATTGGATTGCTTCACCTCAACATCAGGACATACGTCATGAAGCGCCCCCTCTTACACCAGAACTGCGCGGAGTGCCAGTCTCAGAGGACGATTCGTGATGAAGTCGCAGCCGACAAATCTCATACCATGTGAAAATTTGATAAAAATTGTGTGTCGCTTTAGGTGTGGGTCTCGCCGAAGCATCCAGCGTATAATTTGTTGTGTCAGACTGTCAGACCCTGCCACAGCCATTGGTAAGCGGGTGCAGCTCTTTCAAATTTCTCCATGTAGCCAGATGTAGCCAGTACATTGTCTTTGCGTAATGCGGCGATTGAAGCACATGCAAGGGTCTTCGAAACATGTACGTGACATACTTACCATGGATGTCGTGTGGGCTCCTGTAAAAGGATCTGGGCTTTGAGGCCGAGGTCGTTCATGGATTGCCCTTCAGCGAGGCACTAGGTTTGTTTGTGATGGAGTGAAGTTGCGGCTTGGAACAGGCGGCTTCCTTTTTCCGTGTTTGCCCATTCAAAATCGTTTTAAACAACGCATGGGCCGCCTGGAATCAGAGAATGTATCGTATATCGCCAAGCGCATCAGCCATCTTCTGGCCACAGGGATTTTTGACAAGGTCGGGTTCCTGCTGAGTCAAATCTTCTCGCACACCGTGCCCGCTGCACTGCAAATCTACAGAATGTTTTGGGTTTGATAGCGTTTCAAGAGATTTCAACGTGATTCAGGGCTCCCTGACAGCAGGAAGGGCAACAGTTATGAGGCCGGGTCAAGGTGGGGGCAAGTGCTCGGTCCAGCATTCAGTCCAGTCCAGCATTCCTGTGCTGGGGCGGTCTCGACCTACCGTCCTGCCGACACGTGGGCGAGGGTCATTGCTCGCACAGATGTCACATACTTCAAGGATCTCAAGCAGAAGTTGGACAGCATGGTGTCGGTTTGCCGGACGGACTTCAGGGTACGCTGCCTACACTACCTAGTGGACAGGCGGTGCGTGCTCATCATCAGTTTGTGCGGCGCATTGCAGCGCCAAAGGCACATCCTCGCAGTGTGCGCTTCTTCCTCCGTGAGTTGTGGGAAGTCTGCCAGCTGCATGACGCTGAGCTTGTTTTTGCTTTGTTTCAGTATTGCTTCGATATGTTTGTGCGCCATCACAATCTGAGGCTGAAGATTTCCTTGTCCCCTCGCCCATACAGGTGCCACTGCAAGACATTTGAAGTATGTTTTGGAAGGTGGTAGTGGGCTGGAAGCCGCCCTGCACACAGTGGACCTGACAAGCCTGGAGTCCAGTCAATGACTGTGGGACTGCAGGCGAAACCTTGCAAGCCCTTTGTACCAGTTTGTGGAGTTCTCAGGATAATTTAGTTTTTGTTCCGACATGAGTGGGTGCACATGACTTCTTGGATGCCTGGGTGCAATACATGTTTTGCAGCCATCACGGCCGACCTGCCTGTGTTTTCCCATTTGCGGTGTGCCAAGATGACATAGTGAAAAGTGCTATGGCATTGCAGCCGGAGCAGCTTATGCAGCAACTGTCTGATGCGCAGTTCAAGGCGGAAACTTTCCAACCAGGCCTCCCACCGCAAAAGCCAAAGCCTGAAGGCACCATTAAGAACCGGCTCCCAGATGAAAAGCTTGGGTCGATGAGGGGGACTGCACACAGTGTCGGCCACATTCTTGCTGACTTTCATGGTGGTGAGTATGGGTCAGAGTACCTGACGCTCTCAACAGGTGAGCTTGTCAGCTTGTGCCCCTGTCCCAATGCCGAAGGATGGAGTTTTGGGATACGCATGAAGGACGGACACAGCGGTTGGTTCCCATCTCAATTCTGGGCATCCGGGCCGCCTCAAAATGATGATTCCGGCGAGGTTTCATGTGAGACTGCGGGTGAAGGCTCAGAAAAGATATATGACAAAGCTTTTCTGGTGTCCTTGCGGCACCTGGTCGGAAGTGGTTCGCACAGTAATGCCCCAAGTACTATGAGCGAAGCCAAGATCAGAATGCTGATGTCGTGCCAGCAAAAAAAGCAACAACCGGATTGTCTGCAGTCCATGATTCTCTTGCTGGAGGCGGCAGGTGGAAGCGTGCGGCTTGGAAATTTGGCAGCCGCCTGCATTGCGCTGTCCATCATGTCAGGAACACACAAGCAGGTATACCAGGATGTGCTGGACTTGGTTCAGCGATCTCCTGAGTGCTTTGAACCTGTCGAGGCGGCTTCGCAGAAAAGCTTACGCCAAGTCTTGATATGCCTAGCTGGTTCCAGTGTTGTATCTGCTCCAGACTTGATTCCAGAAGTCGTGGAGTTCGATGTTTCAAGCATCCAGCCGGACAGAGCCCCAGCCATCACAGACATGCAGCTGCCCAGCTTTTCGTTGCGTGAAAAGGGATAAGTTGCAGAGGAAATGATTCTTCAGGATGATGACGCGAATTGATGGTCTTGTTTCACCGCGGTTTAAAACCCGTGTTGGCACAGTTGTCATGATCAAGGCCCTGGACAAGAAAAGGCTGGCCGTCTTCTCTCATTGGCGCATTTCCCAAAGCTAGGCTGTATGTTTGGGTGTTGCAAAGGTCCTGAACATTCCCAATTGGCCTCCTGCTGATCTGGCGCCCTCGACTGCTGAATTGCCTCTTGCCTGGCGTTTGTTTTACGTGCTGGTATTTGCACATAGGGAGTGGAGGCAAGCTGTTGGTCAGGGACCTTTGCATCCAATGCAGCTTGCAGAAAAGCCGAGGGCAGAGGACTCCTTCATCACTCTAACGGTGAGGGTCTCATATGAAAGCTTGGAGCATGAAAATTGTGACGCGTAAGGCATGACCCACAGACGCTGGATGAAGACTCCTGACTCATGCAGTGTCAACGAGGTTATGCTGGCTCTGGACTCCATCTCATGGGAGTTCAAGTTCAACCAGCGGCGTGCTTGACGTGCCTTCTGGGCTGCTCAGGCGAAGCTTGTAGCTTGAATAGTGCAGCTGAGGACAACATATCGCTTATGCAATTGCCGCAGCTCTTTCGGGTCTCACCGCCTTGGCCTTAGCATGCCTTAGCCTTATGACATCAGATGAGCACGCCCACAACATCTGAAGGTTGCTTACTGCCCACCGGGAGACTCAGGCTGCTTCCGCTGCTTTCTGTATGGTTTCAAAGTTCCTGGATGTGAGGCCATCTGAGTTTGCCACACCTTCCAGTCGCACTCTGTCGCAGACACGTTTCTTTCTGGCGCGGCACACTGGTACCACCCACTGAGCAAGCAAGGTCGCGTTCTGGTCCGCGGCAAAGGCGCATATCGCATGCAGCAACCAACGATCAGCTTTCAGGCTGGGGCTGGGGCTGAATGCACATGGTTTGATGCCTTCGATATGGGTTCAGAAGGTGATCCTTCTGCAGCGACAGAGCCAACCTCAGTTTCCAGATGCATGCGTTGTTCGAGAACGGCATAAGCGCTCCACTGGCCCTTGGACATTTACACTGCATGTTGTTATTTTGCGAGGCAGTTGGCCCTTCACGCGTGGACTTATTGCACAAGCAGGATGAGCTCTTATGCGCTGATCACTTTTGCTGATGTTGGAGTTTAGGTTGCACGCGCATTTGGCGCCAGTGCGTTCGTGCTCCCCGCGCTGTAACTTCTAAATGTCTGGGTCTTACGATGCGACGCTGCGACAACTGATGTTCGCAATCGTTTTTCCAGCAAATTCCTCGAGTGATGGCACAGCACCCTCTGTAGTAAAGGCAGTGAATTCGGAAAGGCAGGTCGCTTGAAATCGGTACCAGAAGCCAAGGCACATAAAGACAGCCTGCAGTTGTCCGCTGGACCAAGTCTATTGGCATTTCATCAGTATTAGTATCTGGCTGGGGGCAGCTGCTTACGGCAAGAGCTTGGATTGCACTCTCGGGGCGGTTCAGACGAGCTTTGGTTGTGTCGCACAAAGCTCTGAAGCATTTGGCTTCACTTGCTTCAGAGCTTCGGGCGAAGCCACTAGCTAGCTTCACGAGCTTCAAGGCTTCAGGCGAAGCCACAAGCTGCAAACTTCAGGGCGAAGCTCCAAAGCCAAAAGCCTTAGAGCTTCAAAAAGCTTGGATTGTTTCCCGAACCAAATCGGGCGGTCCCTCAGAGCTTGCTGGGCCCAACATCGCTCTTTGAAGTTCTGGCGAACTAGGCATTCGGGGCAATGTCTCTGCAGATATGGGCGGGGGAACGATGCTGGATTGAATCTCTGCCTTGTCAGTGGTTCCGTGTGCAAGTTGCGCAGTTGCAAAATGTGTGCAGTCTTACACGGGCTCAGCAGGACTTGTCTTTGACAGAGCTTCGTCGATGGGCATGTCTTTGACTGGTATCAGCTTTTGCGTGCAACAATGTCCCTTATGGCCAGCCAAAAAGCCATTAAAGAAGTAGCGGACTCGCGTCTGAGAAAGTCTAGCAGCGACCGAGCCTGACAGCGCTCCATTTTGGGAAGCCTACGTGTGAAGCTTAGCCGTCCTTGATCAAACAACAGTGCCAACTGTACAAACCTGCAACATCCCAGTCCCAGGTGTTCAACGTTTTATGGTAGAAGCCTTAGCGAGCCCATGTCTGGCATACCGGCCTTGCAAGCATATGTTTGCGTGCAGGGAGCAGACACGCTAGGGGCCATCCTCAACTCACCTGCCATTTTACAGGCAGGTCGACAACAAACAATCGCTGTATTTATTCCGCTGTGTCTCACAAGTTTCAGCTGTCAAGATGATGCAGGTGTCCAAGCTGGGCCCAGGCAAATTGGTTGAAACTTTGAACTGGCACGTGTCTACAGTGCCCCTGGCATTCCTTACAAGTTGCACGCGCGTTGGCAGTTGCAATGCAGCATGTACTGAAGAGCGCAGGTTTATGATGAGCATGTTGGGACGCCATTCAACTTCATCTATGATGCCAGCTCCTCTAGTGAGTCTAGTTGACGAGATGTTCCAGAGAGAGATCTCTGCGATCTTTGATCAGGTCTTGCAGTTCTCCTCTGGGCGCGACAAGTTTTGCGCTCTCATACAGGGCTATTCCAAATTTGCCAGCGAGGTGTCCTCGTGGCAGCCTAGGATAAGCGTGCAGCACTTCAATTATGCTTTGCATCTCGTGGTGCTAGGTACTGGCAGAGCCTGACAGTGAACGCCACTGGATGTACAGAGGAATTGAGGACATCCTCGGAAAGGGGTCCAGTCCGAATGGGATTGAGAAACTACATATAACTGGGCTCATAACCCTACTCATAATTGGGATAACCTACATAAGTTCAGTAAAGGGGGCGCATATGTAGGGTTATAAGCCCGGTTGTAGGAAGTTACTAAATCCCATGAACCTTCAAGTAACCTTGATGTTAATTTAACCGCTAACGCGGAGCCTTCATGGCAAGGGTAGAGGAGAGCTGCAGGGCCACGAACCACGCAAGCCCTTGCCGGGCCGAACAGCCGATGCCCCCACTGCCCTACCCGGAAACCGACAAAAATGAGCAGATCGAATTCCCTGCCTTCGAATCGTGACCGTTGGGAGGGGGCAGGGTGAGGATTAACTTATCTTCTAGTTTACGAAACTGGACCAAAACGCCCCAGGCATCCGGCCTCGGTGGATATCTTTCCCCAATCTTGTCGAGGACAGTCTGAGCGACGGACGAAAAATCTTCAGATTATTCAAGGAGATGAGAGAAGTCTACAAGGCCTACTTCATGTAGGCTTGTCGCAGCTGGTCTGCTTGAATAAGACGCTCCAAGGTGCGCCGAGGATGGAGTCGATTTTGCCAGGGTGCGCAGGAGCATGGGCCGCTGTCGGTTCCAGCCACTTGTGGGGTGCTAGACATGTTCGAGCCTCAGCATTGCCTCAGCGAAGTCTTATGCACTGAGGAAGTTCGCGGAGTCAACCGCCCCATTGCGTACCTCATATAATTAAGGGTAATATACCACCTGGAGGCCACCAAATTTGACCACAAAACATCACTAATCCAGTCAGACTGGCGAAGATGCCTGACAATTTCAATTCGCAGCTTAAGGCTGGGCCACACGTGTTCGTTCTTCTACTACTTAGGTGCAGAGGGCACGGTCTTGATGCTTGATGAATGCTGATGCATCCTGTCACTCTTTGGCCACGTTTCTCCTGGAAGGTGACAACCTTCTTTGGGCCGCGTCAGTTGGCCTCGTGCGCTCGAAGGAGGTGCCGCAGATGCAGAGAAGGCCGATGGGAGGGTGGCATGGTGAGATGCTCTTCTGAGCTGCACTTCCAGGATGTGGAAAGGCTTTCGTTCCTTGGCCGACTGAGTGTTTGTTGCGTCTTTTCCTATTTATTTAGTCCCTTACAGCCTGAATCATGCAGCTTGTAGGGGATACTCTGCTGCAGCATGTGCGGCAAAGGAACCCTGGATGTTCAGCACGAAAAAACCTTTGCATGGCACATCATTCCTGGTGTCCTGTGCTTTGTTGGGACTTCTGCAGAGCCCACCGAGGCAAGAATGGTGCCATTTTGAAAGCTTTGGGCGGAGTTGCGAGCTCGAAGCCCAGCCCTCTCGTTTGCTCTGGCGCCAGAGCTGTACCTGCTTCCCAAGCTTGACAGCTGTCCCAGGCTCGCTGAATAATTTCATGGGAAGACTAGGCAGGGCACTTAAGCCCAAAATGAATGGGCAGAAAATGAAGCAACAAAAACACATTCATCAAGTGAGAGCTCCTGAGTATTTTTTTTTGCCAAGTCGAAGCCAGAATCAAGCTTTCGCGTTGAGTGTCCTGACATGTTGGCTTTTCCTATCGGTCATGGGTCCGTATTTTCCTGAACAACACGGAAAGAAACAATGCCAGGTTTGCTTCCAATTCCGCAGCTACTTCGGTTGAAGTTTTAGACTTCCTTCAATTTTGTTTTACGGCGCCCGTACGGGCCCTGCGTTTAAGCACATCTCCATGCAAGCGGTCTGAGGTCCATGCACGCGAAACCATGGGAAAATGCCCATCTGCAGGAACAGGGCTGTCATTTCGGGGAGCCAAAGCACCGTAAGGTACCCCTCCGAAGTTTGATTTTGAGCATTTCACCATAGCAGCCCGGGCCTATGGCGAAAACGGCGTTTTCGTTCACGCAGCTTTCGCAGGCGGTCCACGCTAGCTTAGGAACTTGCTAGCGCCTGCGGCCTTGCGCCACAGGCGTTGCCACAAGTCAAGCAGCTGTGGCTCGAACCCGTCGCAGCGAAGCTTTTTACTGGCCGCTTGTTTGGGCACGCAACTTCTGAGGTTTCCCCACCTGGCCAGCAGCTGCGCCCAAGACACGGTTGCAGTTCGCAACCCTTTTGGAAAACTCATTCTTGGAGTGGCTCGAGTGCAAGCATCGACCTTCGTGAGACCTCTGCTGTGCAAAGCCAGTACAGCAGCCTTCGCAGGCTCAGCATCCCAC